CCCAAAACCGAATCAGAGCACCCCACTATCCACGTGGTCTTGTCGTCTTACCCCTAGAGTGTATATAAATAATCGGAGCGCGGAGGAAGAGCAGCCCCCACCCGCTGTAACAAAGCACAGGCATTATGAAAGCTGTAGGGCTGAGGCTGGTCGCCAGAGGCGACCAAAAAGCCGAGGTTGCGGAGGCTTGAATAAAATGCCTGTGCTTTGGTACGCAAGGGGGAGGGGCTGCATTTCCCGTAGCGCCGGAGCTGTCCACAAAAACAAATATTATTTAGATTGGTTAGGTTAGAGTTAGTATATGAATATTTGGTCGCTGAAGGCGACCAGGACGCCGAGAAGCCGAGGCTTGAATAAACAATTACTATTTAGATCGGAGCTGTCCACAAAAACAAATATTATTTAGATTGGTTAGGTTAGAGTTAGTATATGAATATTTGGTCGCCGAAGGGACCAGGACGCCGAGAAGCCGAGGCTTGAATAAACAATTACTATTTAGATCGGAGCTGTCCACAAAAACAAATATTATTTAGATTGGTTAGGTTAGAGTTAGTATATGAATATTTGGTCGCCGAAGGCGACCAGGACGCCGAAAAGCCGAGGCTTGAATAAACAATTACTATTTAGATCGGAGCTGTCCACAAAAACAAATATTATTTAGATTGGTTAGGTTAGAGTTAGTATATGAATATTTGGTCGCCGAAGGCGACCAGGACGCCGAGAAGCCGAGGCTTGAATAAACAATTACTATAGATCGGAGCTGTCCACAAAAAAAATATTATTTAGATTGGTTAGGTTAGAGTTAGTATATGAATATTTGGTCGCCGAAGGCGACCAGGACGCCGAGAAGCCGAGGCTTGAATAAACAATTACTATTTAGATCGGAGCTGTCCACAAAAATAAATATTATTTAGATTGGTTAGGTTATATAAATATTAATATACTAACCGTATATTAATATTTTTTTTAAATAACTGTTCAACTGAAACTCAAAATCGAAAACAAAATCGGATTTAAAATCGGATTAAAATCGAATACTAAAATAATCGATTTTTTCACTTTCACAGAATAGATTATTTTTCACATCTCTATTCTCTACTATTCATTGTTTAAAGTATAAACGCAATCGGCCATTTCGAATTTGGATTTTGCCAGAACAGGTGTGTTCACAGTGATCAAGTGCAAATTATAAGTTAAAAAGCCGTTACTTTTTAGGTTTTTTATTTTTGCGTGAATGTGCGTATTTTATTAGCATTTTTTTAAAACTTGGCTTTATATACTGTCTGTAATATATGTCTAGTACAGACACTGATTTCTTGCGATCATTTTCAAATTTCGTGTGCGAATGGCGTCTAAAAATAGTGGACATCTTAGGTTAGTATATTAATATTTTTTTAAAATAACCTGTGTTACTTTTTACGTGAATGTGCGTTATTTTATTATAATTTTTTAAAACTTGGCTTTACATATATACTAGACACTGATTTCTTGCGATCATTTTCAGATTAAGTACTGTAAAAAAAAAAAATTTTTTTTTTTTTGGTTTCCTAAGCCCAAAATTTGTGGGGGGTGATTACTACCCCCCTCCCACCCCCCCCTCCCCCGCACCCCAAATTTAGGGTCTTCTCTCTCACATCTTTACCCTTCTTGGTATTATTAAAAATAAATCAGTGGTGCTACAACCTCTTTAGGTCTTGGCCTCAGATTTATGAATGTGTTTCATGATCATTTTTCAATCTAATGGGCAAGTAGATGATCAGCCTCCAGTGCCTGACACACGCTGTCGACTTTTTGGGTCTAAGACATGTCGGTTTTCTCACGATGTTTTCCTTCACCGTTCGAGAAAATGTTAAATGCGCACATAGAAAGGAAGTCCATTAGTGCACAGCCGGGGATCGAACCTACGACCTCAGGTATGAGAGTCGCACGCTGAAGCCACTAGGCCAATACTGCTCTTGTTATTATTGGCTAAACAAATTTATGTTTATTTTTTCTTATATAAAACAAAAACTATTCTAAATTGTCTATTAAAAAAAATAATCCCTGTTAATAACGCTAGTATGATTCAAAATGCTTTAATATATTATTTATAGTTGTATTAAACGATTTTTTACTGGAAAAACTGTCTCTAAGTGCGTCTTGTTATCGCGATGTATGTGTCAAAGTTGTTTAACATGTGGCGATATTCCCACAGTGCTTGTATAACTTACTAACTCTGTCTTGCCTTTGGGAGTTCATTTCACGCTATGGGCATGAAAAATCACACATTCATATACTTACTTATAAAATTCCAACCATACGTACTTTCCAAAGGTATGGAAATTAAATAACCTCATATAGATGTTGAAAAGTATTTTTTAACTGAGTAGTGAAGGTACTCTATTCCAAAAACTATACCGACCTGACTTCATAGGCAATTATGATGTAGTTCTCTTTTGCCAAAGTTCTATTATAGGTAAAGTTTACTCTAGCAGCCTTTGGGCCCCTTTTACCCAGAAGGCGTTGAATGCGCTCCGTATTCAGTTAAACAACACGTTCATATTACTCTCGTATTGGGCTTGCCAACGTTCTGCAGTGTGTCATGTATGTTAGCCGAGACCCGTCCTTCCGATGCTTCATGCATCGTATTAAGCATAGCACCAATGGTATCCTGAATGTGTTAATTACAAAGAACACGCAAAAATTATTTTATTCATTTAGGTAACACAATGTATACTTGTGAACGCCAATAAAGAAATACATATTAAATGCTTCTAATTTTAGTTAAAACGTTGGTATGCTGTCCATGCCCCACTTTAGGTTTTTTTTTATGTTTACTAACCAATACTAACATAGCAACTGATTGAATTGTTACTTATTCGAAATAAAACAACATATGGATATAATCTGAAATAAAGAGGTTATTAACATATACATTATCAGTGTTGAGATAGGGTCTTAAGCGTTCGACTCTCGAGATCGAGCGTTCATACATATATATGTATACCCAATTTGTTGCTCGTACTGTGAAGGCAAACAGTGATACAAACTGGTATGTCAAAAAACTGGTGTCTAGCATATATCGTCTTTTCCTATAAGAAAATAATATCAAATAAATCAGATAGCGTCCGAGGGCAAACCAAAAACACCAAGTAGGGGTTTCTAGCGCTATTGGATTCTTAGTATATTACTATATTGGAGTGTATAATACTACTACATGATTGTATAGCAAACAGAGATGTTTGAATTTATTATTAATACTCGGCTACTTACACTAAGTGTTGCAAAGCGATGCACGGGACATCTTGCGGTCGGCCATCTTGATTTATCTCGCCGCGCCGCCGACCGCCCACCTTCTATTTATTGCCACAATAACCCTATTAATTCTGGACGACTTAGGGTTTTGGCCCCCGGTCTCCGTACGTGATAGTTTATAGTAGCTGTAAACGCATTGGACGGTTGACGAATCTAAATGGCTAAATGGGAGCTCGTTAAACTTGATTGCTCGCGTATATTTGCAGTGATTTGTGTTCAAAGTTTAAAGCTTATTTTGATTGTGTAATGTATGTAGGTATGTGCAGCTTAATATGGACCCTTTGATAGTGTTAGTTTTTTTATATTGTACCTACATAATAGATATAAGATAGATCTATTGCGACACTGTAGAGTCAAACAAGACCAATTTAACCCCAAGAAGACACAAGTTTGCGCGTTTTCCGCACAAAAACATCCTTTGTCGCTATTCCTCTCTTCGATGACACTCTCAAAGCCTCAGCTAGCATAGGGATACTGGGCGTTGACATACGAATGACGACGAATGACGTTCAGTTTCGTGGTCATTTGGAAGGAAAGGCTAAGTTAGCCTCTAAGAAGCTTGGTGTGCTCAGCAAGGCGAGACGGTACTTCACTCCGGCCCACCGTGTGCAACTCTATGAAGCGCAAATTCAGCCCCACATGGAGTACTGTTCTCATCTCTGGGCGGGAGTTCCGCAGTACCAGCTCCTTCCGCTTGGCCGTATTCAACAAAGAGCGATTCGAATCGCCGGCGACCAGTCCTTTCCGAGCGGCTTGCTCCCTTGGCGTTGCGTAGGGATTTTGCTGTGGTTAGGTATGGTTTAAGCGTAATTAAAAACTAAATGTAAAGCGCATACTTACTTGGAGAAATCATGAGACTGTACGTTCCGAACAATTATCACCGCTGCCGGAAACATAACCATTTTGCTGTACGTTCGGCTCGCACTGTCCAGCGTCAACAAGCTCCTATTCCTCGGTTACTCTCGCTGCTTAATGGGTTTTTTGACTCTTCACCGGAGAGTGTTCAGAGGAGTTGTTCGAACTAATAACTGCAGCTCAGTCTCATCATCGGACGTCAAGGCACCATACAAAATACCGTTCGAATCACCTTGACGTTCGTCGTTCCACAACTGTGCATTTCTTAAGGCAATTTCTGCTGCGCAACACCACTATGTGAAACCAGCTGCCCACTGAAGTATTTCCGAACCAATTCGACTTAAGCGGGCCATAGACGGACCGCATGTTGCAGTCATGTCAAGTCAGTTCGTCTATGGCCCGCTTTAACATCAGGTAAGCCTCCTGCCCGTTTGCCTCCTGTAACAAAAAACTTTTCACTGATTATTTACACGATTTTCCCTGTCAGCCAGGATAGTTAGTCATAGGTACAGTTTGTAAAATAATATGCCATTTTGATTTTTCTTTTAACAATTTCGTTTGGAGTATGAATGCGCTATCTTTTGCGTGGTGTAGCAGTCGATATGATACTACAATAACGTTGGTTAGCGCAATAACTAAACATAAACACAGTATATGTTGCAAATAAATTCCCCATAAACAATATTTTTATCTCAGACCCCAGAACCGCTCTATAAGTTGAATAATTGTAAGACATTAAATTAAAAGATAGCAATGGCTTAGGATATTTTATTAAGACAAGACGGCACTGAGTAGACTGAACACATAGGTTCGAAGCACCATAGTCCGCGGTACCATGATAGTCGACCCGTTCATACTGCTTTAACAAATCTTCGTACAGCACGTGTATATAGTGATGCATGGGCAGCAAGGGCCGCAGCATCCTCCACAGCAACCGCCGCAAGGTCCACACCTGAGAAGAAAGAAAGGTGAAGAAACCAGTAACATAATATGTTTAAACAATATCTTGATATACTTACATTTTGACTGATTAAGACGTATGTCACTGAAGTTGAAGTAAAGAAAAATATTTATATTTGGTGATTGAAGTTTTTGTGATTTTTATCCTTTTTTTTGGTTTATTTCACTCCGGAGATTTTATTGAACTATTTTTTGTACATCTTTGGACGTCTATTTATATGATAATAGGTTTGAAAATCGAAGAAATTGTTTAGTATTTCAAAGAGGAATTAATATAGAGGTTTTATATGACGTATTAAAAAGGGTACCAACACATATATCTCATCTCATTCTTGAATTGATTGTCAATTTTGAAGAAAATGTTAAAAAATACTAATTTTAAATAAATATTTAATGTATTATATTTTCTATGCCTACTTTATTTGATTATCTGTATAACACAATGTTACGTCATAATAAAAATATTAAATAAAAGTCTCTAGCGATATTTTATGAAGGCTACAACTTTTATTAAACTGGTATATTCTATCAAAACTGGTTAGTAATATTTATATATTTTCATAATTATACTATTTAATAAAATTCTTATAGTGTATTTTTAGCATTATACTGATTCGTAATTGAAAGCTATAAATATAACTAATTAAAGTATCAATTATACTTAGTTTTAATGGTATTATTACTGAAAAACTTACTCAATTAAACGTCAATACCTAATGACATGTTTTGGTAACGTATTTAATTATTAATTATTTTAATTATAAACAAAAACCAAAAAATCCTTTATGAGCTTTGACTTCTGTGCCCTTCACATGTCCTCGAAGTATAGGGCATGCCGGTTCTTTTACGATGTTGTTTGGCACAGAAAAATGCACAGCTGGGATTTGAACGTGAAACCTTTCTCAGTCTCACACTTAAACCTCCACTGCAATCATTAACATCTTACGGATGATAGTCGAAAGAATGGAGTGCCCCTATTTACGACACTGCTCCGACATCTCCGCAGGGCTTTGTACCTGATAGTTTTTATTTAACTACTTTTTCCTTATTTTTACTAATTCTCTAACATAGATCTTAAGAAACTTTTGTTACTAACTCACTAATCAATCAATGGATTGTATTTGTCTGATTAATAAAAATTATTATTATTATTAATTTTTTAATTTGAAAAATATATATTATTTTTAACACATTATAGATTAAAAAAATAACACTATAACATAGCCATCTATATAAAAAGTCTACCTTTTCAATGAGTATCTTATTTTCATTCATATCAAAATTCCTATGTATTTTATTTTAAATTTATACAATTTTTGTGCCTACACAACTTTTTCACATAAAAGCATAGGACGTAAAATGTGTGCACATTTAAAAGCTTGCAAAAGTCGCGAGGTAAGAGGAGGAATTCTATATTCCGACTGCTACTGACTACTTCAAAATGGCTTAAGGTCTGTCGAAGAAGTGTCTGGCAGACTTTACCAGCACCCCTATGTGAACACAGCTTGCATCTAGCACAGATATAATCCATCTGCTGACCCGTTTTGCAACATTTGTAAAATGCCGAAAAATAATTATTAAAGGCTGTCAGTATCGATCAACACCTTTATATATATTAGGACTATACTGGCATGTATTTTCATATTAAAAAGAATAAAATGAAATTCGAAAAAAAACATTTGGTTGGCAGAAGATCTGTCTTTTGACAAATGCACATGAATATTTTGTAAATAATGTAACATTGAATCCAATGGTCTACTTATAATAGATTAATAGATAGCTAGCATTTATTTAATAGTGAACCATTCCCGGTGGACCGAATTCGATCACATTTCTGTCCGAGTCACGCAACCAAGAACGTGAGGCACTTGGGTGAAGGTCACTGAGTACATAAAATTAAATTATAGTTTAATAAATCTACAAAAATCAATCCGCTCACACGATTATAAATAATATGGGATTATAAATATATAGATTTGGACAATTGCTATCTTTATAAATAAAAAAGAATCGACAAATATGTTCGTAAGATCAAAGACAGCTGGACCAATACAAGTAATTTTTATTTATTCCTTGATCTCTGAAAGTTTTGGAAGAAAAAAAATATGAGTTAAACTTACAAGAAATAAAATAGTACTACCAATATTTTAAATATTATTTAAAAGTAGGAAGAGAGAAGTCCTTCCCTTGACCATAAGAATATGGTGACTCAAAAATAAGATTATATTATTCAAATATTAATTATATGTTGACGAATTATGGTGATTTTCCTCCAACTTAAATTTTTTCTCTTTGGAGTAGACTCTTGGGCCGTGGGGTTCAAGTGCACAGGCGCTAATTAAAGATTTAAGTTGGTGCCTACAGTAGATAGTTCAGGTTACCCCAGAGCTGGTGCTTTCCACGCTCAACGAATAAGTATCGCAATACAGCGAGGAAATGCTCCCAGAGTTAAAGGTACACTGCAACTTTTTAAAACCAAACTTTTTAAACATGTTTTAATTTTCTTTTTAATTATTTTTAATTATATTTATTATTAATATGTAGGTTAAGAAAATTGTAAATACTGTATATTTCATTGTTATGATTACTAATAAACTGTTAAATGACTGTTTAAATTGAAAAATTGATAGTCAAAAACCGAGATACGTTTTGGAAGGTTTTAAACCCGGAAAGAGGGCTCTCAGGTCAAAATAAACTCATTAAAAATCACTAGAAGGCGTGCGTGGTACCGCATTAAATAAATATCCCTTTATCACCGGCACACATTCAGGTCATTAACCTAAGGCCTGAAACATAACATCGATTTTCTTATCTGAACTTAATGTTTAATTAATTGGATAATGTTATTATAATTATAAATATTTTTTTTTATTTCTGTTATATTTGAATAAACATGTTTATATAAACCGTTCTTTAAAGTTTTGTATTAACTCACGCAAGTTTTATTAACAATTTAAATGTTAGCGCGGCGTTTTAGTTTAATTAATCAATTATTAATTCGTCCATTGGTATGCGCTGTTATAAATAAAAATCATACTGCATTTGAACTTAATATTCATTTCATAAACTTTTTGAAACTTATGCTTCGTATAGAGTCTGTTTATATATATTAAACATAATTTATAATCCTAGCACAATTGGCTAGAGCATCTCGCTAAAAGCGCTAGGAATTATTTGGAGCTTACAAAGCTTCAAGTGGGAAAAACAAACGAAAGTTTTCGCTAGTCCTTATTGCTATGTAATACAGTTTATTTTCACGTTTTAGCCAAGTTTAATTTGTTGTCGCAGTGTATGGAATTTGTAGTAATACGTTTATATACTACTGTACCCTGCGGTTTTATCCGGTTCAATTCTGCCGCAGCGTTGAGAGTAAAATAACCAGTGGTGCTGTAACCCTTGATCTTGGCCTCAGGATTCTGTATCAATGATGATTTATTTTTCTTTATAGGCATCGAGTAAGGCATACCTGTTTCCTCACGATGTCATCCTTCACCATACTAGCGAACTTTGGAGTCGGATGCCGAAGCCTCTAGGGAAACACTTCTCTTACGCGACTACATTTAAATATATCCGTGTGTGTAGTGTATAAATAATATAATATTTATAAACCTATGTATTCTAAACACCATAGAACACATCGAGTATTCTATTGGCCGGTCACATAACCTGCGTTTGTGATGAAAGATGAGTGAAAAACACTCGTACTTGACTGTCCCAATGGGAAGAAAAAAGAGAGGACGCCCAACAGAAACCTAGGAAGATAAAATAATAGAGATAGTGAGAGACAAATGGAAGAATATGGAGGCTTTCACTCCGTTGGAGGTGAATTAATTAATTATTGTATGTGAATTGAATTTGTCTCAATTTATTCACTGTAAATATAAACACTGTGTGAGGCAGACACAGTTGTGTGTCTGTGTTTAGAGGTCAGCAGGATATTACAAAGCCACCCGTCAGATGCATCCGCGTTCAAATGAGAAACCGACTTTGTCTTTGTTCCGTTTGTAGTATTTTTAAACAACTCGAACAAGGAAGCTTTTAATTCGGCATTTTTTAATAGGGAACTACTGTCCTATGGTTAAAAGCTGCTTGTTAGCTGCATTTTTTAAAAGTAATTTTGTTTTTACAAATTAATTTTTTTTTTTGTTTTTTTTTCGTATGTAAATTTTTTTCATTGTTTAAGCCTTTTAATCGATTTAGAGTCACCTGTTAGGACACACAGATAAATGCATTAGAATCCTGACATTAGAACAACAAAAGAAAATAATTGACAGTTACAAAATAAATAGTTAACGGTGAAAAATTCATCCTTTGAAATAGGTCTTTTTTTAACAAATTATGTTACATATCATATTGCAATGAAGCCCTTACAAGTGGGAGTGCAAAAGATGGCCACACAATCATTGATCAAGTTTTCTTTGTATACTATGTGTAATCGTTCGTAAATTAGACTAATCCATTCACGCGAGGTCCCGTTGAATTAATTGTAGCCGTCGCACACCCTACGAGCTCTTGAAAAATCATTTCTTATTGTGCACTTGAAGATTGATAGTCACACGCGATGCTCAGAGACCGTTAAATGAGATAATGGAAATATGGAATGTTTGTTAGGCTATTTGCATGATTATGACGGTCGGTAATTTATGTTAAATTGGTTGAATAGTATCTCAAAAATAAAAGCATAAAAAAGTAAAAAAAATAATAACGAAAAACTTGCTTTTTTATAACACAGTGTCTTTACTAGATGGCGCTGCCAGATATTTAAACGGCACGTTAAGTTAATCCATTTTGTCTTAAGATACTTTTAGCAAGCAGTGTATAATTGAAAAAATACATTTTTGGAAGAGTGTTGTGTTACTTATTTCTACCTCTTAGATACCAACACAGACACTTAGCATCAATAACCTATAAAATAAACCTTGAAATTCCTAGAAAACATTCAATAATTTATACCCTATATCTATTGAGTTCATGCAATTTTTATTATAAAAATTCTAATAAAATCGTGGAATATATTTGACCAATTAGACGCTATGACAAAAACAAAATGTAATTAATAATAGTAATTAGTAAAATTAAATGAGTTTTTTGTTATACACAATATGGGGGCATGTATGCATGTAGTCAACTTATAAATATCTTAGCAGAGTTTGATTGGTCAATATAAAAATCAGTGAAAGAAGATATGCCACGAAGTGCTCTTGTATTTTAAAGAAGTATCTACCTTATTGATAATTTATTATTTAATACCCGTCCTCCATCGACACATCCCACAATTGATTTTAGCTGATATTTCATTTATCATAAGGAGTTAACATAATACCTGACCCGAAAACTTCAAAAGGGTGTCCAATAAAGAAGATTAAAACTATAGAAGGGGGCTATTACGCCTCGCTCGAATTCCCAGTATATCAGTCCTAACTGCCTCCGACGGGGCAAGGGGCAAAGTCGGCATACACATGACCTGCAAGTTCAGTACTTCATTACGGGGTAATCGGCAAGCCTATTTTAGGAGGCTCATAATTTTTGTTATTTGGGCTCTTTGAATTGTTATATTATTGGATTGTATGATTCTGTCTAAATCCTTTTTGTTAGGTATTAATAATATTTATTATTGCTAAATGTTTATTTTATAACATAATATTGATTGTGTTAAACAAAAAACTTGGTGATTAAAAAGAGTGGCAGAGAGTTTATTGTCAGTTCTTCTCTTCCGTTCGACGCCCTAGATTTGAGAACTAGCAGTAAATGTAAAATTAGAAGCATTTAATGTATATTTCTTTTTTGACATTCATAAGTTAACATTGTGTTATCTATATAAATAAATAACTTTAATCCTAATTTCATAATATTCTTATACTAGCGGACCCGACAGACGTTGTCCTGGGCACGTTTTAATTAAAACAAAGTCATCTAATTGTAAATCTAAACCATTCTCGAATGCACTTGAACACACAAATTTATAGAAACAGCTAATGTTTTATAGCTAGAAACGAATTGTATTGGAAAATTAAATTATTTATGCTTATGTTTTTACTATCTATTATACATGTTTCTCATCCTTGAAAGCTTCCCTAAACCGTTTTTTATAAAAAGGAGGCAAAGGGGTAGGAGGCTCACCTGATGTTAAGTGATACCGCCGCCCATGGACACTTACATTGCCAGAAGGCTCGCTAGTGCGTTGCCGGCCTTTTAAGAATTGGTACGCTCTATTCTTGAAAGACCCTTAGTTGAATTGTACTATTATACTTCAGTAGACAGCTGATTCCACATAGTGGTGGTGCGCGCCAAAAACTGCCTTACAAAACGCTCAGTTTTGGAACGACGGACGTCGTGGTTGGAATTTCGTATACTGCCTCGAAGTCCTGAAACTTAGCTGCAGGTATATCCGAACAACTCCTCTAAAATCTATGGTAAATGCAAAACTTCCACAAATATTTCAAGATCAAAATAAGCCAAATCGGACAGGCATTTTCGAGTTGTAACACACAGCCATTAACTTATATATATTCTTTTATTTCACTGACTTTATTGTACATACAGTATTGTAAAGTTGTTTAAAATGGTTACTCACCACAAAGGCATACATACGAAGATAAATAAACAGATGCGACCGAGTCCTCAAACCCCATTGTGAATTCGGTTCCAGATTTATTTAAATAGCAGACCTTTGATTGCAAAAGCTCGTTATGAAACCACATAATTCGCGTACACGCTGTTCTAATTACAAGGGAGTAAGGTTTGAAATCGAATGATAAATCGATTTTAAGCTGGTAGCTAACCCCTTCGGTAATAAGAGGGTGAAAGGTTTTGTGTGATTGTTTCTTTTTAGCGTCAAATGCGTCGGTTACGTTTGATATGATAATTCAGTTAATAGGATGAGAGATGTCGTGTAGATGCATTTGCTGAATAATTTATTTGATACACCGATATAAAGGATTAGTACTACTTAAAATTTTAGGTATACTTGTGCCACTGTGAAGTTTACATATATTTCTCTTGTTTTATTTATTTATTAACACTTCGTTGCATTAACACAATAAAACTGTAACATAATTAAACGAAAAGGAGGGCCACTGGCGGCCTTTTCGCTTAGGAGCGGTTTTTTTCCAGGCAACCACTGTGAATTTTTTTCGATTTCTGTATCTGTTTTATGATCATTTGTCAATCTAGTAGGAAAGTAGGTGATCGGCCTCCTGTGTCTGACACCGTCGACTTTTTGGGTCTCAAGCAAGCCGGTTTTCTCACGATGTTTTCTTTCACCGTTCCAGCGAATGTTAAAATGCGCACAAAAAAGAAAGTCTATTAGTGCACAGCCGGGGATCGAATCTACGACCTCAGTTATGAGAGTAGCACGCTGAAGCTACTAACATTTCTCGTATTATAGTAATAAAATTATATTTATAGAAAAAACTTTTTACCGGATTAAAGTTATCTATATATATTTTAAATTTTATCTAATTTATATTAATTTTAAAGTTTATCAAAAAGATAAATTTACATTTACATGTTACATTTAAATGTGACTTTAAAAATCTTGTTGGTACCCTTAGTAGAACCCGAAACCTATCATCCTAATTAGAAACACAAAAGTAAACCCAGGGAACGGTTTTAATTGTAAATTGAATTAGACGAAATCAACTTCCGCGGGTAGTCGAGCAAATTTCGGCCGTTAATGATGGGGAGGGTGGGCCAAAAAGAACTCTCTAAAACTCCGCCAGGTTTTTTGATTAACCGAAAAATTTTATACTTTATGGCCGTAATTAATGGAATGCTACATGACGTATCCCCAGTGATTAGGCGTTTTTTGCACGCATTTGATTAAGATTTCTACTTAACGTAATTGGATATTAACATGGCGGTAGCTTACGTAGAATTTTATAGCACAATAAATTCTGGTTCTTATCGTATTTTACATTAATAGGTAAGCCGCCGCCAAGATATCACAGCACGTAGTTCTAGGAAGAAGTTGCGATCGTTGAATAAAACGGAAATCTAGGAAAAATAACTCGCGAATAGAGAACTAACGACTCAGACCGAAGTTCGCTATCGATATTGCGTAATTGCTCCTTAAAATGGAATAAATTGCATCGCTCAAGAGAACTTTGTATTTTACGATATTTTTTAAGTGCGGCAGTTATATGTCGTAAATTCAGTACTTTGTTACTTGTAACGATACTCTATTTGATGTGTGATATTTTTTATAGTACGGGGGCAAACTGTCAGGCTCAGGAGTGCGTGGGCCGGTAGCCTTTTAAGAATTGGTACGCTCTTTTCTTGAAAGACCCTAAGTCGAATCGGTTCGGAAATACTTCAGTGGGCAGCTAGTTTCACATAGTGGTGGTACGCGGCAAAAACTGCCTTAAAAGTTGAAAAGTTGTGAGCTGGAACTCAGCTACTGATATTAATCCGAACAAAATTATGATTATCGTATACACCATTCTTAAACATACGACTATTAAAT